GTGTCGCCCTATGAGGTCTTGCGTATACAGGTTCACATTTATAATGGTTTGTGATATAACAAGGTTTTATGACATTCACACTTCTGCATGTTCTGTAAACCACATTATTATCTTATTTTCAAACCGAAAGAGGAAATGAATAATTTCCAGGTAAAATATTGAGCATCAAAGTATCAAATTAATTTCCAGATTTTTTTTCTTTCTTGGTATTAAATAACAGAAATTTAAAGAATAGACTGCTTTTCCGCTTTAGGGGTATTCTTGCCAGTTAAAACAGACATATGATTATATGTGTATATATGTCTCTGGTATAGACATGGTTTATGAATGAATTATAAGTCTTGCAAAGGTACAAGATATAAAGCACATTGAAAATTGATTCCGCCGGTCTGTCTCCATTCAAAAAAAAGGAAGGTTGACGTTAGATTGATTCTGTCATTTTTTTTTAAACATCGTTGGTCAAATAGCTAAAGTATTATACGTTGGGAGACTTATAATATTTTAATAAGGACATTCCTGATTAGGAATCCTTTTTTTTTATGTTTTTCACACCTGAAAAGAATATTTGTTCGTAATTATTTGATTCCATACCAAGAATTTCCTGTCAAATTTTCAAACATCTTTTTTCAAATAGCTGAAGTATTTATACGTTGTGACAGAGACAGATTTAAAATATTTTGATGAGCACATTAATTCATGAATATGTAAAGAAAGATCGCTTTGGACGGACCAAATTATATAATTACAATTGGTAATTATCTATTTTAAATAATAAAGGTTACCGATTCTAATTTGAAATAGTACAATTTTTACAGAGGATGACCTTGAGGTCATTCCGATGTATTGCTATCGCCTAAATTTCCATTATGCAAATTAGTTTTGGGATTTCAACCGATCTATAAAAATTATAGATCCGCGGTCATTACAAGGGAAAAAAGTGCATTTTACTACCTGCGATTCCGTTCTCCGTTCGTACGATGTTTCATCAAAAAATGGAATCATTTCAGTTGTTGATTTAGTACTGAAAATTTGACTGAATTATCTCCTTATTTAATACGGTTTTATATGTTTAATAGGTGTTTAAGAAAGAGGTCAGGTGCTCATGTTCATTCATAAAATTATCGTTCATTCATGAATTTATCGTAAAATCAAAATCACTACACAGGTCACACAGGTTGTATACGTAGTGTCAAAAGATTACCTGTATAGTATCTAAAAATAGACATACTTAACCGACTCCCCTTACTGTAGTGTGTGATAACATTTTGTGAGGGAATTCGATGTTTGCTATACCACTGTTCATTTCAACGCACTTTATGACGATACCACTTTATCAATATGAATGAAATTTTTTGCAGTGTTTTAAGAAATAATTTTACTTTAAAATCGCGTATCATTTGTGAACTATTAAATGTTTTACAAGGACGAATTTTCTGTATAAAGTCAATAATTGTGTGAACTTTTGAAGCCCAAGCTTTTTATAGCCTTAAATACGCTAATGAAAGATCCGAAAACTATACCCATACAGAACGACATGTTTTTGAAATTGTAGCAAAACTTGTGGTTGACAAATTTTAATTCGTTATTGCATAAATATTAACTTGAAATATCTGTCATTTTCTCCCTACCCAGTTTACCTCTATTACTCATTATGATGTGGACTTGACATTGTTATTGAATCTTATGCAATTTGATTGGATTAAGTTATTATTAGATTACCTTCAAACTGTTCATGCTTTTTCGTACGAGTATATTGATTAAATCAGAGCGTGCATGAACGTGTACAGAAAATTAAATGACCTGCAAACTGGACACTGGACCAGTCCATATTACGTTTTATCAATGAATAGATTTTTTTTTTATTTCCCAAATTACAGGGCCCATAAAGGGCATAAAATCAGATACAATTGATTTACATAATTGGTAACAACAACAATAATAGCGGCATATAAATAGATATTTAGTATATAAGCATTGGTCAGAATCAGATGAACGAAACTTAAGGTATGAAAGGTAACAATTGCCACTTTTTATCTTTTCACATAATTTTCCACATACACATTAGATAAATTATTTTTGATAGCCTATTGCGGAGAAAAAAGAGAAAGTTTACTGTATTAACGTTCTATTCCATTAAATACGCCATTTTTCGAAGATAAATGCAGAAAAACATTTATGAACGGCTACGCCAGGTAAAATTGTTGTTTATCCTAAAAAAAAATACAATTTTCAGTTTCATTAGAATATTATAATAATAATAAATCCCAAATTTATTTAGTCATTAGATAAAGTCCTTATATGTCCGATCTGCCTATTTTTGGACATCAAAAGACAATACGATCGTTTTAAGGTCAATTTCGTCTACCTCACACAATCTTGTTAGGCACTATAATGAAATGGACCTGAAATTTATTTCACATGTTTCCTGAAAATTGATAAATATCAAAGCAACATAGAGCTGTTTGTTCTAGTTCGTATAATGACATTTTAATGTCATGTTTGTTTGTGATGACCCCCCTTTTCGGGATTGCATCAGAATTATAGTTATCTCGTATGGCATGAGGATGACACATGTCAACTGAGCAATTATGTTTGGGACTTAGTTTTAAGAAATGATGTCAAAGTAACATTATGAAAATATTTTTAGTAAGCTGAAATATATATTTATTTTTTACATGTTTATGTCTTGTAAGATATTTTATTTCTGTCCCGTTTTTCAACATTTGCGTCTGGAAAGTTGAAATGTTTTAACTGAATGGTTAATTTAAATTAATTATGAAAATGGTTAAAATTAAATCAATAAAGGAAATTATTGCCCAGTTACAAACACTACCAGGGGATAATCCATAATGATTTTTTTTCAGTTATATGTTTCAGCACATGTCTAATTAACCCCAACTTTAGCCTGGTAAACTTGTTGTCTCCTTGTAAAATATAAAACATATTTAAAATGATTTCCTGCTAAAGTCTTATATTGATATAAAGTTAAAACCGTCTTGCTTCTCACTAGTCAACACTCCTGTCCTGTCAGGTTTAATTCTTATATATATATGGATGAAAAATAAAAGTCCACAAAACATTAACATGGCAGCAATTGCTTTTACAGCCTTTAAGACTTTGATTTTTTTTTACAGAAGAGTGTGCACCATGCACTTGCATTACACTATAATAATAGTAGAATAGTATGATATACAAAAAGATGAAAATTATAAATACATGCAACCGTAATATTAATATAATATATAACAACAAACCAGTGTATTCTCTGGAACTATTATTATATTAGTATAATAGTCTAAGGTATACTGATTTGTATCACTACAATATAATAGTTATTACGGTGAGGTTGAATTTCCTGACATTTATTCATCATCCAAGCACGAACTTGTATAAGAAAAAAAATCTCTGTAAATTAACCTCAGTTTCAGGTATAGAGATGTGATCTGTTTCTGTGACATGTGCTTTTGACCATCCACAAGAACCTGCGGTCATCCGATGTTCAGTACTTCAGTACTTTGATTAGTTCATACACTCGTGTTTAGAAGGCCATTATTATTTATAAATCTATTAAATTAAATCAATTCAGTATTTCATGGTTACAAAAACAGTGACAGCGGTCATAATTCATTTTAAACTGAGCTTACGCAAAATATAGAAATATACCACGACTATCCAGTTATTGTGCAACCTTATTACTCCCCCAAAATAATTATATTTCTTTTTTTATATTTTCTGAGTCTAAAACTATCACTCCCGTTTATCATTCATACAAAATGTTGTTCACACCTGGAACGGTGAACCGTGACGGCTAAGATTCACTGAGTGAAGATCAAAAGAAATTTTAATTACCCTGAGTTTAACCACGCATTCAACAGTCACTAAGTGTCACAGTACAATACACATTGTATTTACACAGTACTAGCTGGAAATATTTCCTGGACTTAAGTAAAAGGTCAGAATACAAACATGCCTTTTTAATACATTATCAATCATGTCAGTTATATATGTTTGTTCAAAATATTCGTCGGAAAAATATCATAAAAATGTTCTATTGTATGATTTACTTTTATTACTATAATCATATCAGAAATCCTTAAAACATAAATCCTACAATTTAATTTTACTGATCACTTTACTTTCTTAATTTTTAGTTGGTTAATAGCTACACCAAGAGTCGTCGATGCGCTTTAAATCGCGTTATTAGATGGTTAACGAACAAGACTTAAATGAGATTAATTCCACTCCCGGCATGCAAAAAGACTTAAACTACGTCACAGAAGTCAGGAAGTTTGAATAAATAGAATTAATAATTCCCAATTTTCTTCTTTATTAGTTTTCATATCCAAATAAAACTTGGTGAATGATACATCCATCGCTTTTTCAAAGAATAAAGTTCAATAAATTCTCAATGTCATATCAGAAATTTATGAAAAAATAAAGGGAGGTTATCTTAATAGATATAAACCAGTCACCAAGGTTTCATGAAAACTGCTCAAAGCACTTTAAAGATATTGTCTGAAAACTTGAAAATCACCCCTTATTTATGAATAAAATCCCATAACTCGGAAAAGTAAAATCTAAAATTTATAAAAATCGAAAGGTAGCTTACGTCAATAGATATAAATAATTCACCAAAGTTTCATGAAATCTGCAGAAAGCATTTTTTAGTTATTGTCCAAAAACTGGAAAATCCCCCTTTTTTAATGAATAAAATCCCATAACTCATAAACATAAAATCTAAAATTTGTAAAAATTGAAAGGGAGCTCATGTCAAGAGATATAAACAATTCACCAAAGTTTCATGCAAATTGGTTAAAGTGTTTTTGAATTATTGTCCGACATGTTGACAACGGACGGACAACAGTATACCATAATACGTCCTGTAAATGGGCGTATAAAAAGTAAACAGACAGCAAGTGCTAAGAAAAATGTCTCTCTGAAGTACTGCGTGATCACAACTACAACATTATGGTAGGTAAAAGTAAACACTACATCAAAGATTTGTTTCATGAAAATTTATTGACTACATTGCACAGTACATAGAACACACATACATCCATAAACAAGAGAAATGGCACATTATAACTTTTATTTAACTTCTTATGCATTCATTTGGCACAAGGTAGATAATCCTAAGATCCCAAAATAAAAATCCAACCAATATGATGCTTTTATCTATATTTATTTATTCAACTATGTCCAAAACATGAATTTTTTTTTTTAACTAAGCTACATAAGAAAAATATAATTATCTTACTGGTACATGTGTACTTAAAAACTCTTAAACAGCCCTTTAATTTTTGATGATTGTTTTCAAATCGAAATTATAAATAAAATGACTTTATGTTTGATGAACTGGAGAAAAATCAAACATTCATGCCAACCAGACTAAATTCAACTCCTGTGATTAATATGCATTCACACCACTAAACTTTCATTCTTTACACCTTTACACACATTTATACAAAAACAGTTATGCACCACAGTTGGTGGCAGCTGTCAATGCACCATCGTTGGTGGCAGGTTTGGCCGATCTTCTAACTTCTCATATTCTAAGTAAATCTCTTTATGTACTTTCCTCCAGTATTTTGTATCAAACACATAATATGTTCCTTGTTCATACGTATTTGTTTTAAGAATGGGATCTACACCAGGTGCTCTTGTGATCCAAACACGCTCTTCTTTATGATACCGCCAGTCTCGACTGTACCTAAAGGAAATACCAAATTCAGTAGATAATCTAACAATGTGTACTTGACAATAATTATTATTACTAGTATGTTAAAACAATAGCACAAGAAAATCGTCCCTAAATAATCATACAATTTTGATAAGAAATTCCTGCGGAAAAAAAGGAAGATTTACCTTCTTTCCTTAAAATAATTACAACAAGTGATTCTGTGAGCTACTGCTCACTAATGATACCCCCACCCCGCTAAAAGTATAAGTAAACAGGAAGTTGTTGAGTGATGAATCAGAAAAAGCATCACACGGTATAGCTGACTTATATAAACCCTGAAACCAACAGAAATCTTTGTAATGTAGTTCCTGGTAAAGATGCGACATAAAAAATATTCATGGGACGGACGGAGGGACTGACAGATGGATGGACGGACAGACAGAGGTAAAACATTATACCCCCACTTTTTTAAAGCGGGGGTATAATTAGAGAAAATATATCGTAAAGTTTATTTATGATAATAGTTTGCTGTTTCGCCATACTCTAGAAGTGGATGTTTCTAATTTCTGTTTCATTTTGTTTAAGTTGTCAATGAGCAAGTTTTTTGTTTAGTTTTTTATCTTTGGCATGAGATGGCATTCTATTCTTTATTTTTTATTTCAAACTCATCTGACATCTGCCAAAATTTGAAGTCAGGAAATCCAAAGAAACTATAACAAAAGGCTGTCAGAGTGACAGCAAACAGGATTTTCCTGCATGAAAATGATATTTGCAAATCTGGACCCCCAAACAGGACCAAGTAATAAAAATATATATAGCATTCAGAAAATTAGTTTATAAAGAATAACAAACAAACCTACCACAAAATTCTTCAAACAATTTACCAAAGAAAAGACAAAAAAATTTACAAAATATCATTTATCATTAATACAGTGTCTTTTAAAAATCTATAAAACTTATCTGTAATTATCTTCAAAATGTCTAATAATGAACAGTAAATTTCAAACTAAATTTATACCGTCCTACAGAGCTTATCATCAACAACACTTAGGAAACACAAAATTTTCAAATAAATCTGTCACTCCAATTATAATTTTATGATTGATAATTACCACATGCTTTGTTATCTTAAAAACACTTAGTGTAATCAAACTTTATATATATAATTAATAGTTCCCAATATTTTCTTTCATTTGTCACAAACTAATATCTGCAACTTATCTATCAATGTCAACAACTTTATCTACACAATGTAATGTAATGAAATATATCCTTTAATAAAAAAAGATTATTATCTAATGAAAATGATATTTGCAAATCTGGACCCCCAAACAGGATCAAGTAAAAATTAAACATTAACACACCCAACAAAAATAAAATACCATTTAACAACTGTGACATCTACCTTCAAAACACACATGACTTAAAAAAAAATAGTTATAAAGAAATTTTTGACAACCCCTGACTAAAATCAATTGAACAGATACAATCATTGATAGACTATCTATCCATATACTTATTAATTTCACCATTTCTGTTCAAAGGGAAATAACTCAAAATAAAAATAAATCATATAATAAATATCACTTTTCACTACTGAAAGGTCTACAACTCAACAATAAGAAAAGCTTAAATCCTAAAATTTGAACTTGACCTTCATTTCGTCACAGGAAATAACATATCTAAATTTGAAAAGATGTCGTCAAAGCGTTTTCATGTTAATGAACGGACACTGTTTGGCAGTTCCCCCGCCCGCCCACCATCCATCCCCAAATCAATAACCGATTTTTCCTTCGAAAATCCAGTTATAAATAGTTTTGGGTGTAGTTTTAAATTTTCTTATTGTGAAAGGCAATAATCTTGTCTTTTCTTTTTAGAGTTGGATTGCTATTTAATTTGTATGTATGTGGTAAATCATTTTACTCAACTCTAACTATTTAACTGTAAACTGAATATCGTCAGAAGCGACAAAATTCAACTTTTAGACTATTACACTGTGTGTTGTTTTGACTTTTGATCTTAATCTCAGTTTTAAAAATTTAACAAAAAGTACATACAACTCAGCAGCTGATGCCAACTGTAACACGTCTCCACCATTCATATAAAACAAGTAAAACAATAGATCTTCACCATATCTGTTTAACTTGATCGGTGCTAGCTGAAATCAAAATACCATTCATATAAAACAAGTAAAACAATAGATCTTCTCCATATCTGTTTAACTTGATCGCTGCTAGCTGAAATGAAAAGACCATTCAAATAAAACAAATAAAACAAATAAAACAAGAGATCTTCACCATATCTGTTTAACGTAATCCGTGCCAACTGAAATCAAAAGACCATTCATATAAAACAAGTAAAACAAAAGATCTTCACCAGGGCTTCCAAAACGGTCGTATTTTCCGGACATGACCAATAAATTATAAATATGACTTGTTATGCCAAACCTGAAACGGACATTTAAAGTAGGTTTGCCATTTTAAACATAATTCAGAAAAAAATTGAAGTTTTTGCGATCTTTTTGACCCAACCTTTTGCCTTAAACAGCCACATTTCCGGTCATAAAAGTGACATGGTGAATAAGTACTATCAAAACAAATCCTACTTTAATACCCTCTCATTACAATCAAGGCTACCGTTCCTACTCGCTTATTAGTCGGAAAATTGGGAGTAAAATTCATAATCCAGAGAGGGGGCCGACTAATAGACGAGATCTAGCGACCAGAGAAAAAATCCAAGCTTGAGAAAAGTGGTCAGGAGTGAATTTCCTGGTCAAAACTACGTTTTTGATTGCCAAACCTACATAAATCAATAAATAAAAAGTTTTTGTTGAAAATAAATGACTTCAATACTGTCTTTGTGTTTTATTTGTTCTTTGGTAAACATTTTCTGCAAATTCGTGTTGAAATTCTACTGTTTCCGGTTTGTGTATTGATTTTCATGGTCACATGGTTTTCCTATAAACCCAAAAGAAGAGCCAAGAACCAAAAATGAAAAGGAGATAACAATGTACCAAATATGTGAAAGGATGTTTTCAGCGGAGTTATTGTGTCATTATTGTGATATCATGATATCAATTCAATGCTTATAAATCATATAATAATCAAAAAATAATTTTAAGATTCATTCCCAAAATCAAAATATTATTCATTATAGTGTCTCAGGTAAACAAAAATTACAAAATTGATTGACAAGCCAATATAATCCATTGATAACCCCAATTAAGAGACAAAGAGTTGTATTCACTAAAGGTGTGAAAACTATCAGTGATAGGTAAACAGATGACACTAATGAGTTGGAGTTAGTTATTTTAATATATTGATTAGCTTCACTTAATTTTTTTAATCCTTTAATCATCACAATATAATAAGAATTATGAAGTGTACATGCTCATTTAACACCGAGTTATGTATGCTGTGAAAAATATTTTCATCAAGTGTTGATTGACTTTAAATTTTTCAGGTTCATATTGGTTTATATTCGCTTTTCTCAAACAATAGGTTGTTAGTCATACCCTACAAAATCATTGATGCATTACATAAACAACACATGGCTAATCTAACATTTGAACAGTGAACAAAACAAGAGAAATGAATACATCTTTATTATTAACAGCAATATAAATTATCATGATGAGCATCAACTAAATTCAAACCAAACAAACATTAATGCAGAAATGAATATTATTCCTGGATTTGCATTGGTTTTACCGGCGTTCAGTTACTGTCAGCTGAAAAAAAAATGCCCAAATTTTGACCGACTTATACGAGGGTCAAGACTAAATCCTTAGAATTTGGAGCTGAAAAGGGACCCCGACTTATAGTAGGATCGACTATTAGGCGAGTATCTACGGTAATTAGTTGTCAGACAGTTGAAATTTACCTGTTCAGGTAACAGGTAAACTAATATGTACCGGACATTGATCAGTCTATTTGAAGTTATTTTTATAAATTTCAGCGGTTTTGCATCTAATTAGTTTAATCAAAAAGATTTAAATTTAAAAAATATGTAATATAAATATGATTTGATGAAAATTTTTAAAAGGTAGTTATAAAGGTTTTAAGCGAAAAAATCGTCAGGACCACGTTGTTTGAACAAAGTACACCCGTGCGCATGTGTGCAGTTGTGAGATTTAATTATGCATCCAAATTCTTCAAAAATACTTAAATTATCATTGATACCTTTATCTAACGTTCATTTTAAACATTTTCTTGAAGAAATAACGTTGGAAGGAGCTACTTAAACTCAATTGTGCTTTTTAAATGTACACGGATTTTTCGTATCCGTCTCTTGTCCGTGTTTTACCATTGTAAATTTAAAGTCAACATCCGGTTTGAAAAAATATACCTTCAAAAACGAAAGTAAAGATTTTGACAGGGATTATTTTGACAACGTAATTTTGCACAAATAAAGATTCTTAGGCAGATATTAGCAGTGTTCATCTTAGGGCCTTTTAGCATCATGGTAATGTGATGCTTTATTTCTTCAATGTGATGCTATCTGAATTGGTTTTCTTATAGATTATGCTATGGATGTGATGCTATAATTTTTAGAAACAAGATGGTATTTTAAATTTCCCTGTTTACCAGGATGCTAAATGAAATATCTGGGGAGAACACTGATATTAGTACGCTAATGTTGCACACTTGGAAAGTTTAATATCATTTTTATGTCAATCATTCATTGTTTATATGATGCCCAACTGATTAGCATGATTTCCTTTTGTTACGTAGTCTTAAGGGGTCAAAATCGGGGCAAGACAAAAAATGTCCGGCTGGCACAAATATTTTTTGGAAGCCCTGATCTTCACCATATCTGTTTAACTTGATCAGTGCTAGCTGAAATCAAAAGACTTGGTTCAGAATACATACAGTGATTTTGTTATAGATTAACTTCAACTTTATTACGTCTAAATATGAAAACTTGACTTTGTTTGTTTGGTTTTTTTTAAAGAAAAATAGGTGAATATTCGTATATATATATTTATATCTTTATTCTGATAAACTGTTGTCATTATAATGGTATACAGAAGTTAGCTCAGATATAAACAAAACACTATAGAGAAATATAAATAAAGAACTTCATCCAGGAGAAAACACACCAGAATTAATATACCTTATAAATGTACATTGTTTCTTCAAATTCTTGGGTCATAGTTATAACTTCCTTAAATCTATTTGTATATGGATGAGCAATATACTTTTTATCTGTGCCTTTTAAAGAAAATATAATTGAAAGTACCAATGTCCCATAAAATTAGGAAAGTAGAAAAGTTAGTTCTGCTATATAACAAAATAAATTGATTGATTGAATGATTGATTGATGTTTAATGCCACTTTCATCAATATTGTGGTATTTCATGGTGGTAATTTATTATTGGTGGGAGAAGACGGAGTTCCCAAAGAGAACCACCAACTGACAATCCTAGTCAATTAAGATTAGAGTAGAGTGCACCTGCCATGTGCGGGATTCAAACTCACAACCTCAGTGTTGACAGGCTGGTGATACAGTAAACTACTTAGACCACTTATATTGTTCTACAAACAGAGAATTGATAAATCCCTTTCTATTCCTCCAAATAAACCATATCAAAGAACCAGATATAGATGTCCCATCTACATTTGTCTCCTCCCAATAAACCACATCAAAGTACCAGATATAGACATCCCATCTACATTTGTCTCCTCCCAATAAACCGCATCAAAGAACCAGATATAGATGTCCCATCTACATTTGTCTCCTCCAAATAAACCACATCAAAGTACCAGATACAGATGTCCCATCTACATTTGTCTCCTCCCAATAAATCGTATCAAAGTACCAAATACAGACGTCCCATCTACATTCGTCTCCTCCCAATAAATCGTATCAAAGTACCAGATACAGACCTCCCATCTACATTTGTCTCTTCCGAATAAATCGTATCAAAGTACCAGATACAGACGTTCCATCTACATTCGTCTCCTCTACAGTTGTCAAAAATTGAATGATTGATTGTTGGTTGCTTAACATCCAGTGGCAAATATTTCATGCATGTTCAGGACGATCCAAAATTGAATTATCATTCATGTGGAATTATCATTCATGTGGAATTATCATTCATGTGTGGTAAATGGTGTGTGTGATTGTCCATATTATTCAGACTAAATGTCATTTTTTTCAGAACTTGAGGTGCTGAAATTGTCTATCTAAAACTTAAATCACATATTTGTGATATATGTTTTAATCGTACATAGTGTACCTTATCTGTGATATATAAAGAAAGTCCTACCTTGTCTCGGATGTATATATTGGTTAAATATTCAGCAGGAACATGGAAATCTGAAATGCAACAATATCAAAAGCTTTAAGAGAAAATTTTATTGTATATCTGCAGATTACTCCCCTTTTCCCGTAATAATAATGTTTCCTTATATTGAACATACATTAAAAGACTAAAAATATTTCTTTTCGTTATATTTTGGTATAATTTTTCTAGATACTTTTTTTTTATAACTGTTCAATTTTGTTTATGTATGTTCTTTTTTTATCAAAAAGTTTTATAGATTGAAAATTACAAATACAAATGCATTTGGAACATTTCATATGTTAAGTTAGAAACTTATGTATGAGTTGCTATCATTATGATCATGTATGAAAAAAAATCATGAGTTTACTCTAAAAAGCAGAATTTTTTCATTTGGGTTTTATTTTCATTTATCTTGTAGATAAATAATATCATAACCAATGCAATTAAAACCTGCACAAAGATTAACACATAAAGAACAGAACTTTCTCAAATAAACTGTTGACACAGATATATGTTTCGTCTTTACGTAATTTGAAAGAACAATGCAAATTTTGAAATTAAAATAGCAATACTTTAACATGTAAACAATCTAAAACATCCAGTCATTGAACTATGACTGCAGGTGTAGGACCAAATTACCACGTTGAAATTATAAATGGCAATGTTGATACAACTGCATACCAAATATCATTGACTTATCATAAGAAGTTCCCTTTAAACTTATCTAAACACAAACTTAAACATGTAAACTAAGCTAAAGTTAAAGTCAATAGACCATGACTGAGGTGGTGGGGTAAAAATATCTCAAGGAAAATGACATGTAAATTTTTTAAAGAACTGTGTACCAAATATCCTTGACCTACTACAAGTGGTTTTCTTAAAGCGACTTAATCACAAACTAATACATTGTTGACGGCATACCTGCCACTGATTGAAACAGCATGGCTAAGTCCGACTTTTTTTTACTTTGTCTGAGCGAGACAATTAGAGACCCCATTAATTAAGAAATAAATCTATTCAAGAGACAACCCAACTAAAATTATTGCCAGTTATTATTGCCATTGTTACTATTGCTTGCAACTTATTTTAGTTATGGCAGAGCAACAATTTTTTTGCCTTCAATGGCACCAAAAATAGTACCCTCAAAGTCTGAATTAAATATAAAGTGTTATCTAATCACGAAAATAAATACCCATGAGCATGCTGATTCTAACAAATCTAAAACATTTGATGCCATGAAAAGTAATATGTTTTAATAATATGTTTACACTGATTTCTAACATTTATAAAAACATCATTAGTTTTGAGAATTCACGCAAACAAATCCAGTCAAATTAGACTGTTACTTATTGATAACTAGCAAAGGTAGACAACTGAAGGTAGACAGTTCAGATGAATTAAGAAGTCGTTTAGAATATTTAGTGTGTTGAATAAAAAATTAAAGTAGATACAGAAAAAACAATTGTTCATAAAAAAAAAAAAGTGGAAAACCTATTGTTTATTAAAAACAAAGTAAATCACAAAAAAAAATGATTGCTACATTTTCCTCCAAAATGCTGTTAAAATGGTGACAAAAGCAAAATATTCATAAATCAAAAGTTATATTTAATAATCCAAGGCCAAATATAAGACCTTGACCTCTGACTCAAAATTTACTAATTAATAGGGCATTTATGGATATGTAAGGAAAATGCTTATTGGGTAATATAAGTAGACATGAGAATTGTGCTAAACCAAATATTCCAATTAATTTTTGGAGAACTTTTAGTCCATTTTTTTTTTCTTTTGGACCATGAACTAATAATTGTCCACATAATCAAGTAAACCATACAACACCTTTGTAAACTCTGACAATTGATTTGTATGTCAAACAATGACAGCATATACATCAAATTCTAATTTTTTGATAGAAAGTCATTTTACTTTTACATAAAAGTCCTTAAGGAAAAGTTGACCCTACATAGTATAATTTGTTCGACTCATTTTTTTTATGCTCTCTAAATTTTAATATAGATTTGGCTTTCCTAAATGTTGGTCTCAATGTACCTATTCAAATTGATTCCAGAAATGTGTTGTTTGTACAGAAATCTTTAACCAAAGGTCTACTAAGAAGACGAATGATTTTGAAATGACAGTAATCTTATTAATGGACCACATATCAGTTTTTCTTTTGGCAAAGTTTAATTACTTTATTACTGGTTGTCCATTAAATCTCAACTTTTAATTGGACTGAATATTGAGTAAATGATACAACAAGTTTTTGAAGTTTAGACTATCAATCAATACAAAAGATCATGTCAATAAATTTGTTATCAGGCCAATGGTTTTAGCTGTAAGATCATCTGTTTTGCCCTGTAAACACATCTTAAGCTACAACAATTGTTGTTTTTATAATTAATTTAGCTTCGTCTTCATGTTAAGAACTCTATTGACTCTGCTAATTATAATATCTACGTTATTTGAACTTTGGGGAAAGTTGTCTCATTGGCAATCATACTACATCTTCTTATTATTATATCTATATGTCAAATATACTGCCAATAAAATATTCTTTTACTGAACAGAGAATATACTCACACAATACTGTAAACCAACTTATTTCGCGGATACTTTAATTCGCCTTTATCTCTTTCTAGTCCACTTCGCGGCGATTTAATTTTCGCGATTTTCAGATTTACTTGTTGTAGTTAGATAAGGAAAGATCCAAGTTTTAAATTTTCGCGACAATTTATATGTGTTATTTTTCTTCTCGAGAAAATCGCGAAATCAAGTTGCTCGCGAAAATTAGTTGGTTTACAGTATATAAAACAATAGTATGTTATTGTATAAGCACTAATATGATTCATGGGTATCAGCTTTTTTACAGTGGACAAATTTCCTAAATGGCTCTGTGTGACCATTGCCATCGTATAGAGAATGTGAATATGTCATTTCTTATGTTTCATCATATTTATTGAATATAAATTAAGTTAAACTTTTGTTTACAAAAGAATTAGATTAAATCTAAATTGATTTCAGTGTGCTGCCCGGTGTTGCCAGGTGGACACGATAGAATCTGCTTGACCTGTATTGTATTTTTGGTCACTTTTTTCTCACAAGTTTCTGTTGTCAATAATCTATTTGCAAATTCCTTATTTGATCCTGTTATTAAAGATCCATTTTGTTAACCTTTTGATGGGAAATAAAATTTCATTGCATTTGAAAAGCAAACGGAAAGAGAAAATTTATGTGTGTGTACTCTAATTTTTTCAAATCTTTTTTGTTTTCAAATCTTTTAATTAAAATTAATCTTTTGTTCAGCAAAATTGTTGATAACAAAATGCCTACATATCACTTTCAATTCATCATGCTTTGCCGGGGCAGATGCCAAGATAATCTTGATTAGAAAAAGTCTACATTTGGTAAAGGGAAACAACTTGTGTTAAAATTAGGTAATGGCACATAAAATCGGTAATTTTGGCAAAAAGGATATTAGTGATTAACATTCATATGAATCAGACAATGGAAACTGGTTTAATCTCGGCATAGGACCAGTACAATTTACCATGGTGTTGGATGGTTCACTAAACATTTGGTCAAGTGGACATATATTATTTTCATGTGTAAACATAACTTCATTAGACAATATATTATCGTAGAATAAAAATTCTCCAATTACTTTAGAAATTAAATTTAGAAATTTTTGCATACATTTATCATTGCGATTTTTGAGGCGAGATTAAATAATACAAAATCAGTAAATGTTACATATATACAAATAATGGTGTCATAATTTAAAATGCAAGTTTTTTTTTTGTGATTCCTATGCCACAATTTGAATAACATTGATAAAAACATAGCAAAAATTTCTGGATTTACAGAATTCAGTCCAAAATTTGACTAGTTTTGATATGTAAGACCAAACTGTGAAAAAGTACAGTAATAAATGCCGATTTGAAATGAGAAAACAATGTTTTGATAATATTTCAAGGGAAGAAATCAGGAGTTTGAGATGCTTAATGGCTTCTTATCACATGCTCTCTACTCAGGGATTCAAAATTATGTCTTTGGTTCAAGATCCCAAATTCTAAAAGTTAAACAAAAATTGCTACCCAGTAGCCAAACGTCCCCCACGCTGTATAAATGAGAAATTAAATTAGGTGTCACAATGTGTCTTTGTGGTACAATGGTCAAAATACATTGTGCAGGGGACAATGATTAAAAGATCCTTGAAACTTTCAGAAACTTTTAGGTTATTAAATAATGATTTTTAAGATTTTATATGTCAGAATAATGAAAAACCATTTCATACACTTTTTGCTATTGTATAGAATGAAACAGAAAAAAAGGACTTCAACTCAAAGAGAAATAATTTGAACACCCTATTTACTGTTTTTAGATGTTGGGAGAAAATTCATTTCAAACTGATATCAATATGACCGAGCAAACAGTATCTCATGAAAACATAGGCAAATTTTGTAAATTTCAATTGAATCCTGTTCTACTATTAATATTCTCTTTTAAATCACAATATTTTCAAATTATGCCTAAATTCATATAAATTCAATTTATCCTGTAATTCACATTTTCTCATGTGAACTGTTAAATGTATGTACATTCATCACACCTCAGGTGGATTTTGTCAATTCAACCTTACAAACGAAGGCAGTCCATTCTTGCCCACTCAAATTTTACTTTAGATTTCGTAAAAATATTGAACTCATTTTTCAAGGTATTGTATGTTCCATTTTGAAATGGTATGTCCAGTCCACAGGTTTGGCACAGAGGAGAGTCGAGACAATCTTGGAGTCTTATCTAATTTGTGTCCACTACCACAGCGGACAGGTAAAGATGACAAATTTCACCTCAGGTGTAGTGTAGTTTGAAGTTTTATCCAATTTGTGTCCACTACCAAGGTTGACAGGTCGAGATGACAAATTTCACCTCAGGTGTAGAGTAGTTTGAAATTTTATCCAATTTGTGTCGACTACCACAGTGGACAGGTAGAGATGACAAATTTCACCTCAGGTGTAGAGTAGTTTGAATTAAAGTTAATATTAATGACTCTGACAAATCAAAATATTAGCTATAATGGAAAAAGTTAATGTGAAATTCATGTTATTTCTATGTGAGGAAAAATTGCCTATGTAATGGCCAGCAAAATGATAGCTTTGATGGTATAAAGTAAAGGCAGGGGAGATAACTATTAACTATTTTGTAAGCAAGGGGAGATAATTACTACTTCATAGATATTATATTTTATACATGTTAGACTGATATTATGAATTATGACTATATAAATTGGAGATTTAATAAATCATTAAAAGTTAACAAATCTACACTAAAAAAATATCTGTTATCTTTTTTCTGGACAAAGGCATCTAAGTATTAAAAGTTCCTATTTTTTAAATAATCTGCTGTTTTTCTTGTTTTCTTTTTTTTCCTTTCATCAAACTCAAATGTATTTTTTGTGAAAAAAAATGTGAACACAACTTTTAACTGCAACAAAATAAAAGCTGTGAGGCCAACAATAAAATATTTTTTGTTTGCCATTTTCTACCACAAAAAATCCCACAAACAAACTGATAATTTTAAAGCATTTACCTCCACAGTTATTGGTCCAATTAAAATATTTTTTTAATCTATATCTTTTTTATTCGATAGTTTAGAAGCTGTACAAAACTTATATCAGTTAAACTATAGCAAAAAAAAAAAACTTTTCATATTCATCTTTTCTTATTCCACATTTTAGGAGCTATCTAAAATTTGCATCAGTTACACCATGGCAAACAAAAATACTTTCAAGTCTAGCCTTAACAAACATACCACTATGAACCAAAAATATGAATGTCTCTCCCAGTTATAGTCATTATTTTTCCCTGAATAACTGTTCACAACTGATACTAATACCAATAGTTTATTACAAATGATTTACTTTGACTTTCTTCAACTGTAAATCTCTGCTACAATTTTTACTTTTACCTGGACTATAAAACGTCATTGTGAATTGATTAACATGGTAAAACTATTAATCCTTGACGGTTTGCAAAAGCTGAACTTGTGGTTCACATTGTGTAAAGCACAGTCACTAAAATCCAGATATATGTTGAAGTTGCATGTCAGTGTCACATACTGTTGTGAACATTTATTCTAGGACAGAAAATGACTTCCACTGAGATTGACATTCATTTTTGGTTCAAAGTTGATGGAACAATGCGATTATATAACCATGCAATGATCACACATATGTGATATATAAGCCAGTAAGCACAGCAAACACTTGATAAAAGCTGACCTATATCTTGAGGTCTGCATGGTGAATCGGCCCATGGTGACTGAAATGTACTGTACAGGTTTCTGAAGAAAACCAATCAGCATTTTACAAACTATTCCTTTATATACAATTTCACATTTTGGCAAATTTAAAGATTCTCCAATACAAATGTATTGCTTCAATCAATGCACAGTGTCCAATATCTGCCAAACCTATAAAATCATCAAATGAAAAGTGAAAATCCTTATTAACCAACCCCTCATACATCATTTATTTGCTTGTACTATTTTCTGATATATTCTTACAATTTAATACCTGTTATATTGTCCAATATTTTTGGTGATACCTGTTTTCCTTTTTATGTCTTCTTAATTTTCAGGTTTTACAATATGCACTGTATTTGATTAAAGATAATACATTTCTGGAGAACCTTTGTTATTTATATGTGTCATGTATACTGTTCTTATTAAATGTTTCTTTTCTTTTCGTTTTTTTAATTCAAATTGTTCTGTATTGAGAAACAAAATAAAAGAACAGTAACAGTGACAATCTTACTATATATTAGTAGAAATGTGAATCATTGTGTCTAATGGTTCACATTTCATTCTATATGTAAAACATCTGTTTATATAATTTAAATTTTTTTGTTTCGTTTTCAATTCTAATTTCCCATTTTCCAACCAAATTATATATCATTCAGGTGTCACAAGAATTTTTTTTGACTACTGATGTACCCTATACAAAAAAATTCAAAATGATGTAAACAGATGAACACCATACAAATAAAGACGAGTTATTTTTATGTTGTACATTATGCTAACCTATATCCTGTGGGCGACACGGCAAATCTTTCCATGGCGACTGGAAAGTACTGTATAAATTTCTGTAAACACCAACAGCAATTAGTAAGTAAGATATTTATTTATTCCTGTATTTTTTCTCTGTTGTAGATTTTTTTTCTGACAAAGGGAGATAACTCAAATTTTTCAACTTTAATTCTTATTTCAAACGTGGTGTATAAGAATAATACGACAAAAAATGTACATTATTCTTTGACTACATTTCTGCTTATGTTTCAGTTCTCTCTTTCCACTACTTCTTTTCATAGTCTGTTTTAATTTTTTAGTAACTTTCACAAAACGCTTATTATCTGTGATAAACTGTAGAACATAAATTAAATCCATTGTTAAAATTTCAGATTTCATATCTCAGAAAAAAAATAAAATAGACATAATTCTATGACAGCAAACTTTTCCTTTGTCTTTTTATCAAACAAGAGTGTATAAAAACCAACCTAAAGCCATTCCAAATATGTTTTTCAATTCCTTTTTATGTTAATTCATATTGGGCTAGATGGAATCATGTCAAATTTTGTTCGGAAAACATTTGCAAAGTTTTGGGAAAAAATGCAAGAGAGAGAGAAGAGAACAATGTTTTCATTCCTTTGTATGTTAGTCTGTCCTGTATTCTTTTACTTGTACTTATGTTTTTGTTATGAGTTTTTCCTGTATTGATAGTCCAATGCTTTTAAGATTAAAATTACTATTTTAACCCCACCACAAGTTCATGTGCCTGTTGTCAGTGATTGTCTAATGTCATATTTTAATATTCTAAGACATAAGTTCATGTGCCTGTTGTCAGTGATTGTCTAATGTCATATTTTAATATTCTAAGACATAAGTGCATGTGCCTGTTGTCAGTGATTGTCTAATGTCATATTTTAATATTCTAAGTCATAAGTTCATATGCCTGTTGTCAGTGATTGTCTAATGTCTGATTTTAATATTCTAAGTCATAAGTTCATATGCCTGTTGTCAGTGATTGTCTAATGTCATATTTTAATATTCTAAGTCATAAGTTCATGTGCCTGTTGTCAGTGATTGTCTAATGTCATATTTTAATATTCTAAGTCATAAGTGCATGTGCCTGTTGTCAGTGATTGTCTAATGTCATATTTTAATATTCTAAGTCATAAGTTCATGTGCCTGTTGTCAGTGATTGTCTAATGTCATATTTTAATATTCTAAGTCATAAGTTCATGTGCCTGTTGTCAGTGATTGTCTAATGTCATTTTTTAATATTCTAAGTCATAAGTTCATATGCCTGTTGTCAGTGATTGTCTAATGTCATATTTTAATATTCTAAGTCATAAGTTCATGTGCCCGTTGTCAGTGATTGTCTAATGTCATATTTTAATATTCTAAGTCATAAGTTCATGTGCCTGTTGTCAGTGATTGTCTAATGTCATATTTTAATATTCTAAGTCACAAGTTCATGTGCCTGTTGTCAGTGATTGTCTAATGTCATATTTTAATATTCTAAGTCATAAGTTCATGTGCCTGTTGTCAGTGATTGTCTAATGTCATATTTTAATATTCTAAGTCACAAGTTCATGTGCCTGTTGTCAGTGATTGTCTAATGTCATATTTTAATATTCTAAGTCATAAGTTCATGTGCCTGTTGTCAGTGATTGTCTAATGTCATATTTTAATATTCTAAGTCATTTGGAGAATTTTGTGTTAGTGGCAGATCTTCAATTGTTTCTATTTCATTTAAAACATTTTAGACTCTGTGTAAATTGGAGCTTTACAAATTGCATAGACACCTATCAATCGTTGAAGACTCAGTGTTGGTCTCCACAATTATTTTGGTTATTTTTGTCATTGAGATGCTAATTGACGTATACCCAGCTTCTTCTTTCATTCCAAATAACTAAATAAAGATAGCAAATTTTCAATTTAAATTTTCACTTAGGCAACATTGAAATTTTTTTTATCAATCAATGATGGAAAGTTTAACCTGTATCATTAAAAACACTTATCTTTTAAAAATTCTTTAAGTAAAATCAAAAAGAAAGAAAAACGTATTTGGCAAGGCTTATGTAAATACTTTATGATACTAAATAATTCTGGTTCCAAATATTCTCACTTCATTACAGACCACTTACTCGTATGACATTATCAAACACTAACTTTAATGACTTTGCTGAGCACTTACTCGTATGACATTATCAAACACTTACTCAGGTGAGTTCAGATTTAGACCTAAAGTTGTCAGATCTATTCCAGGAGCTAAGGCCACCAGGTTTGGGTCATTCTCTGCAGCTCTGATAAATGTCAACAACCCAACAATACCAAACTGGTCATTTACCATTCCATTTGGAATATTGGATACAGTACCTGAAATTAAACAATTAGTAAAATGTAAAGATCATTAGGCCAAGTAAAATAGTATGTGTGGTTCCCAACCTTTAAACTATTTTTTGCCATCTTTAAGTAAGCACTCTATACATTCCAAATAAAAAGACATATTTTGCCTTGTATTAGGATTTATCATGTACAAAGCACAGCAATGTTCAGTACTGCATAAGTAATAATACAGATTATATTATTTTTAATCCAGTCTTTTTTGTTTGTACATGAACTTGTGAAAAACGGATTGACATTTGAAAATTACCTCCATATCTAAAATCTAAAATAATTCTCCTTACTGAATGAACTATTAAAGTCATATTCATGTTTCCCTTTTACTTTTTCCCACTAAAAAAAAAGTTGCATTTCACTGTAATTATGACATATACATTGTAGTAAAGCCTGTTAACCTATGACCTACCATCTTGATGTGTCTGGATTCCCCTCTTTGGAGCCTTATCACCAGGATATTTACCATCCTTCAGTAAACTTGTATCACCAATCCCTGATGATAGACTGGTAGGCTGTAATGTAAAGAAAATACAATCATCTACAGTGAAACCTGTGTCACCTATCCCTGATGATAGACTGGTAGGCTGTAAAGTAAAGAAAATACAATCATCTACAGTGAAACCTGTGTCACCTATCCCTGATGATAGACTGGTAGGCTGTAAAGTAAAGAAAATCTACAGTGAAACCTGTGTCACCTATCCCTGATGATAGACTTGTAGGCTGTTATGTAAAGAAAATACAATCATTTACAGTGAAACCTGTGTCACCTATCCCTGATGATAAACTTGTGGGCTGTAATGTAAAGAAAATATAATCATCTACAGTGAAACCTGTGTCACCTATCCCTGATGATAAACTTGTGGGCTGTAATGTAAAGAAAATATAATCATCTACAGTGAAACCTGTGTCACCTATCCCTGATGATAAACTTGTGGGCTGTAATGTAAAGAAAATACAATCATCTACAGTGAAACCTGTGTCACCTATCCCTGATGATAAACTTGTGGGCTGTAATGTAAAGAAAATATAATCATCTACAGTGAAACCTGTGTCACCTATCCCTGATGATAAACTTGTGGGCTGTAATGGAAAGAAAATACAATCATCTACAGTGAAACCTGTGTCACCTATCCCTGATGATAAACTTGTAGGCTGTAATGTAAATAGACACAATCATGTACAGGGAAACCTGTGGTAGCTGAAACCCATGGAGATGGAAGGTGCTAGTTTGGATTATACAGGTACCATAGCAAATAATGATTCAATTTACAATCAGTCTTGTAAGTGGTTTTCTCTAGATTAGTCTGGTCATTTAGTGTTTGTCATCCTGAAGCATGTGTGGCCTTCAAATTTTTGGCATGGAGTGTTCTTTTAAAAAGGTTAATCCAGAAAAAATGCTTCAGATCCACTAAATTTTTTCAGTGGTAATTAATTTTTCTCTGTACATTTCATAAAAACAGACCTAGTAAATATTTGAGATTCTGTCACACTTGTGCCAAGATTTTGCATCATCTGACCTACTGCATCATACAGCAATCACTTTAGCAGTGAGGAGAAAGATGCTACCCTTTTGGAGCACCCGAGATCAGCCTTTGTTTTCTTTCAATCACTTTGAATCACTTAACAAAACCACACATTATCTTCTGTGCATGATATCTTTAGAACTGTAAAGTATTGTGTGGAGTTACGAGAATTGTGACATCAAGGAAATAGTAAACAACAAAATAAAAGAAAACTGGACTAAAATGGGAAATTATCATCCCTAATCATTTGAGAAATTACAAAATATATAAAAAAAAACTTCTATTTCTATTATTATTTCTATTTTTAGAATTTACCGTTTTGCAAGTAGCGTCGCCTGATGAACTTGACGGTGGATCTACAAAAAGTAATATAACTGATTAAATGGCTTGCATGGTTTCACATTAATATGTTTTGCAATGAAAAAGACTTAGGTCAGGAGCCTGTAATTCAGTGGTTGTCATTTGTTGCTGTATATTTGTTTTTCATTCACTGTTTTGTACATAAATCGGGCCGTAAGTTTTCTCATTTGAATTGTTTTACATTTGTCATTTAAGGGCCTTTGATAGCTGACTTGACGGTATGAACTAGCTGTTAGTAACTAAGAGTACTCTCAGATCTGTAATGGTGTCTTTTTTGTTGTGAGAATGTATAAATACCTGTATTTAGGAAGCTACCATTTGATTTTTATGGGGGTTGGGCAAGGATGAAAAATTTTGTCCTGCATTTTCTTTTAATTGTTATCTCTGTCCTGCCTTTTTATTTTTCACTCTATTCGGTACGGCCTTTTTTTTATTAGTTCATCCTGACTTTTTTTACATAAATTGTCTTCCTGCCTTTTTTTTTGCCAAGTTGCTCATCCTGCCTTTTTTTCAAATTTTATCCATACCCCCAATAAAAATCAAATGGTAGCTTCCTTATTGTTGTGCTTGTTAAACAATGGACACAAATGCCAGATTAATTATTAAAATTTCAGGAAATGTATTATTCAAAATCTGCTATCAAAATTTAAAACATGATTTTTATTTTTGTGAACCCAATCCTGTTGTCATTTTCACAATAATAAAAATATCGCCAAAGTTTGTGAATTAACAGTAACTTACTTGTGGCACCTGGTAGTGCTGGGAAATCTTCCTGTTGTATCTGGAATTCTGGTGTTTGATCTGACACAGGTTTACTAACCATACCTATAATTATAGCATACAGTAATCTAAAACACTAGTATTTAGGAGGGAGGGAAAATGGGAGGATATTTACTAAATTTATCTATTTCTGTCCAAAAACTATGTTAAAACAAAGGTAAAAAATACTGTTAAGTGATCAACTTTTCCTTGGGTTTATAAATTTCTAGATTTCCAAAGGCCAAGTTTGTCTTAAGATTTTATTTTGATGTTTTTCATGCACTTGAATCTCATTTTCCTTAAAAATGAAGTTTACATAAGATCATACCTGCCAATCCTCCCGCGCAAACGATGAAATTCTGGAGATCTTCCGCTTGCCGTTCCGCTCCCGCGCGGGAGTATAGAATCTCCCACTTTCAGATATTTTTAACGTGTGAAAGCATGCTTAGTGTGAGACTCAACAAAATTCAAATATGGAATGTAATGAGTTATGAGACTCAGAGGTATTGAAAAAGGCAAACAAAAAATACCTTGTACATGTTGTATAGATTATAACCATGAATTTGAGAAATAAAGTATATTCATTAACTCTTATTGGTGTTTTGTAGATGAATAATTAAACAGGTCATATATTTATCTTTTGAATGTCGTTCGCGCAAAATCTCTCTCTCAGCTGTCATAGATGAGGGGGATATCTCCCTCTTTGAAGGTTTCACAGGTTTCACAGGTTGGCAGGTATGCATAAGATACTATTTTTTATAATTTATGTCTTTACAGTACTGAGAACCAGACACTGAGAAAAATGGTGGTATATGGAATCCATGGTTAATAGACTATTTTCATATTACTGACTTTTGACTCCTGAGTATATAATTTGTCGACTGGTTACCTTAGACATCATGGTACTCGGTCAAGTAAGAGCAACCAAAATTAGTAAAATCAATCATATAATCAGTGTAATTTGAGGGGAAAGTTTACTGTTTTCCGATGATTTTGTAGTGAAAAAAAATGTTAAGTAGGTAATTTTCCCCCAAAATTGTACTGATTGAAAGCTTGGTAATACTTCTTTAGTTTGCTCTTACCTGACTTGGTACCATGATGTCCAAGGTAACCAGTCGACAAATTATATAATCCGGAGTCAAAAGTCGGTATTAAATATGAAAATAGTCTATTGATTTAACAGTATAAGTACCAATATTCTACAATATTTTTCAAAGTGATCACAACAGTGGTTATATACTATTCCTGTCGTTTGATTTTTATCATTTCTATTTCAAATGAACTTTACAATTCTACTAAACAAAATTACTAAATTTATTTTTTGCACTAAAGAGACAAGATTCCTACAACAAATACTAGAGATGAGTTTTAGTGCTTTGATAATTATAATCTATGTCAATAAGGTTATTTAATTTCACAATACTATTAAAATATTCTGATGAATTCCAAAAAAAATATTTTCCTTCAGTGTTATGTTCCAATCTATGGAATTTTATCCGAGCTGTAATGTACTAGATCGTGTCTGCCCTTGATATGCATACAAGTAAATTTCAAATCCAAAATTATCTGTTATCCTGCTTCTCAAATAAATGAATCCTACCAAATTATCATGTTTACATACCGTAATTATCATGTTTACATACTGTAATTATCATGTTTACATTACATACCGTAATTATCATCTTTACCTACTGTAAGTATCATGTTTACATACCGTAATTACGAATGGATGACACACTGCTATTTGGTAGGGAACCACGATTACTGAGACTAGGGAACTCAGATAAATCCAAACCCGGCTGATTCTCATCATTTCCAAATACTACAAATAAATAATGTACTTAGTGTTATGCAGACTATAAAGCTTCTATCATGCATCTAGGTTGCACTTTGTAAAAACGGCTGATTCACAAACCACGCCTCTTTTGGGGAGATATTTAATATTCATAGATATTTTGTTTTGTTTACCTACTGGTTCCCAGATATGATCTCCATGTTTCATCTCATAGAGACACAACTTGGGAATTTTACCAGTATAAAAACTTTTGGATAGCTGACAAATAAAAATCTCAGAACGACTAAAAGAAAAAGGAGGGGTAGTACAGACTTTTATAAATATAAGTTTAAACTCTTAGAAGTCTGAGGCATATAAATGTTGAAAATATGCTGCACAACCCCTTTGTTTTGACCTTTGCAAAAAATAGTAGTGCATATAAACTCTTCATTTCAGGATATGATTATTACGAATCTTCATAGTAACTAGAGGCTCTCAAGAGCCTGTGTCGCTCACCTGTATTTACTGATGCTTTGAAAATCATGTAAAATAAGGTTAAAATCATAACTAATAGTATTAGATATTAGATATTATAATGATATCTAAGATAATAACAAAAAACTGTAAAATTTCTGTGAAATTACTAACTCAGGGGCAGCAACCCAACAACGGGTTGTCGGATTCGTCTGAAAATTTCAGGGCGGATAAATCTAAATCTGATGTACATTTTTGCCACCTTGTCAGATTTGCTCTAAATGCTTTAGTTTCAGAGATATAAACCAAAAACTGCATTTTACCCCTATGTTTCTATTTTTAACCAAGTCGGCCATGATGGTTGGAAGGCATCGGACAAATTTTTTAAATTAGATACACGAATAATGATTATGGCCAAGTATGGTTAAATTTGTCTCAGTAGTTTCAAAGGAGAAGATTTTTGTAAAAGATTACAAAAATTTACGAAAAATTGTTAAAAATTGACTATAAAGGGCAATAACTCCTAAAGGGGTCGACTGACAATTTTGGTAATGATGACTTATTTGTAGATCTTACTTTGCTGAACATTATTGCTGTTTACAGTTTATCTCTATCTATAATAATATTTAAGATAATAACCAAAAACTGCAAAATTTCCTTAAAATTACCAATTCAGGGGCAGCAACCCAACAACAGGTTGTCAAATTTGTCTGAAAGTAACAGGGCAGATAGATCTTGACCTGATAATCAGTTTTACCCTATGTCAGATTTACTCTAAATGCTTTGGTTTCAGAGATATAAGCCAAAATCTACATTTTACCCCTATGTTCTATTTTTAGCCATGGCCGCCATCTTGGTTGGTTGCCGGGGTCATCGGACACATTTTTTAAACTAGATACCCTAATGATGATTGTGGCCAATTTTGGTTAAATTTGGCCCAGTGGTTTCAGAGGAGAAGATTTTTGTAAAAAGCTAACGACGACGGACGACGACAGACGACAGACGCCAAGTGATGAGAAAAGCTCACTTGGCCCTTCGGGCCAGGTGAGCTCAAAATGGCACAGTTTTAGCAGTAAAATGAGTTCCTATAGCAAGTGCATTGTCTTTATTTACAGAAGTGCAATCTATATTGGATGAAAAAAGAAAACATGCAGAATTTTTACCAGATCTGGTTTATCTTCAGAGATTTTAAAGAAAATAACCCAAATACAAAATTTTCTAAATATTTCTTATTTATGGGGGTTTTAATGACCTTGACTGGCTATAAAGCCCTCGCACAGTCGGTTTATTAAGATTGAAAAATCCTGGGCCTTAAATATGATGACTCAGCATAAAGTGTACATCATTTTGTACCATTGCATGAAATAGAACAGTGACCCTTTTTTCATTTTCTACAGTCGTTTTTTAGGAGTTATCTTCCCATATCTTGAACATGCAGTAATGTATGAGATTTTGTTCATATTTTTCTTCATGTTTAATGACTCATTGCGACTTTCAGATAAAATTTCTTTGCTTATGATTTTGTTGATTGCCTAAGGTATTTTGTGAAGAGAAATAAAAGTACACCAAATCCGTCTTTTCAATTCTAAGCATTAATCTCTATGAAATCTCTAATTATTGTTGTGTAAATAATGTAATGGTGTCTTCATTATTTAGGACACTTGAATGTATGCGTTGATGACTGTTCCAATTTTTATCTGTAGCTCATATCTCAACAAAGATTTCAATTTTCATCCTAGAGTACCTCCTGTATCGTCAGTGACTTTCAATTTTCACCTTGATTAAATGATGGATTGATAATATAGCTTTAGCCTTTTCACAGTGCAAAAAATAAACATGACATAAGTTGATTACTTACACTGGATTTCATATAATAAAAGATTGCTATCAATTAAACCACTTACTTTGTCGACTACTCTGTCCAAATATAAAACTGTTGTTCATATTGTTCATATTTGATATTGGTGTACTTGAACTGAAAAATATGCAATACACAATGAATTTTTTAACATCTATTTTAAATCTCCTTATATCAAAGTAATGCTTAGTAGTAATAACATTACATCAGACTCCTGAAAAACAAATATATAAAAGACAATAAATTTGAACTTTAAACTAAGACTGATAATTACCTAAAATTGTAAACCCAAACTTTTAAGTGGTAAAAGAAAAAAAAAATAAATCTTTTAGTTGTCTTGCATTCACTTTAAAGTATTTTTTCATATTTTTTTCAAAGAATACATCTTAAATCAATTACACAAATTGAATCCTCAAGTTTGGAACAGTATTGAATACAAAATCTTAGATCATTTTTACAAGGTATTGTGCATTCAGTTTTTATTTTGACAAAAAAGAAATTGCTTGTCCGTAGGCATGTTTCATGTTGTATCAACACAGAGCATAGTACTACTGACAAACAGTTATTCAAGCCTGGCAATATGGCTGATGATAATGTATACCCTTCCTTCAGAACAGTGGTACATTAACTGAAAGACTTACCTAGGCATACCAGAGCCTATCGGTTGGTTCTGTATTTTAGACATATTGTACAGAGGTACATTATCTGAAAGACTTACCTTGGCATACCAGAGCCTATCGGTCGGTTCTGTATTTTAGACATATTGTTTTGGTTCATTACACTCCTTTGTCCTCCAATGGCTGATATTATGTTTCTAAAGAAATAGATAAAAGAAATCCATAATGTAATTAATTTGTAAAATTGTTTGCAATTTCTTTTACTATTTTGTTAAGCTACATGTGAAAAAAAAATTCTGTTGAAGACAAACAACTCGTTAAACATCATTACAGCTTTTACAGAAAATTATGAAAATGATATTTTTAAATGTAAATCATATAAAACTAATGTTAATTACAAGTCATCTAATTAACAAAATCTCTTCTGTAATAATTAATTTCTTTGACTACATCTCGTGCTAATAATTGGCACTGTTACTTGTTATTCTTTTGTGTTGTGTAATAATAAAGTAATATATTTCACTCACCTGTTTGGTGATGGCTGTTGTGGAGCTTGCTGTAAGTTTAAAGGTAGATGCATGCTGGTAGGTGTCACATGACCCTGACTTGTACCTCTGAACTGGGGCCCTGTTATACCTCTTTGTTGTGGCATTGTAAAATTGCTGAGACCTATAAAAAGATTTATAAAGATATTTCTTTTAAGATGACACTACCTATAAATATTAAAAGTGATATGCACTTCTATATAAACTTCTGAATTTCAAAGACAGTCACATATAAAAGCGAGGTTAATCATTACAATTTCATCGAAAGTTTTATACAAATAAGATTTTTAAAATGAAGTGTGCAATTTATTTTTTTATCAAACATAACATGTTGCAATTAATGCAATAAAAATAAAATTTGAATTTACAATACCATAAAATTAACCAATTATCTTTGAGAACAATTTCTTACCTTGAGAATAAAAGTTACTATTTCCAAATCCACTTGATAATTGAGACGGTGAACCTGAAGACATCATCTGAAAAGTCAAATAGGTTCTGGTTATATATAGCAGTAGTGACTCAGTTATTAAATTTTTCTAGTAAATGGTTGATTCCATTTACTGTAGATTGATTTATTTTCGATTTATTCACCATTGGATGTTTGTTTGATTGTTTGAAAGGAACCATGTTTTAAGTCTGAGAGATTTTAATTTAAATTTGAAGAAGATATTTCGACATGTTTGACTATAAACATTGAGACGAACAGACTGAGAGCTTTGAATGTAAACTTGTTCACACTGAGAGGTTTGAACTTAAACTTGAAGAAGTTCAGACTGAGAGGTTTGACTATAAACTTTGAGTCAGAAAGACTGAGAGGTTTGAATGTAAACTTGTAAAAGTTCAGGCTGAGAGGTTTGAATGTAAACTTGTAAAAGTTCAGACTGTAAGGTTTGAATGTAAACTTGAAGAAGTTAAGACTGAGAGGTTTGAATGTAAACTTGTAAAAGTTCAGTCTGAGAGGTTTGAATGTAAACTTGAAGAAGTTCAGACTGTAAGGTTTGAATGTAAACTTGAAGTTCAGACTGAGAGGTTTGACTATAAACTTTGAGAAGAACAGTCTGAGAGGTTTGAATGTAAACTGGTAAAAGTTCAGACTGAAAGGTTTGACTATTAACTTTGAGTAGAACAGTCTGAGAGGTTTGAATGTAAACTGGTAAAAAAGTTCAGACTGAAAGGTTTGAATGTAAACTTGTAAAAGTTCAGACTGAAAGGTTTGAATGAAAACTTACATCTCTATCTGTTCTGAATGATGACTGTGGGAAATACATACTGGTTTCATTGTCCTCATCCTCCCCAAACAAACCCTAAAAATTAAAAAAAAACATGTTTTACTCGTTCACTCCAAATATACCCTGTAAATAATAGGTGGACAAACTGGGTGATCATTTCTATTTTGGTTCAATAACTTTATCTTTATAATTCTTTTCAATGTTTGTTGATAACTTTATTGTTGTCTTTTATCATGTATAAATGTCACACTTCTTTTCAAATACTGGTAACATCAGAGATAGGATATTACAGAATACGACAATCAATTTCTGGATACTACCCTAGACATAGAAAAATTTTCTGGCATGTGTAATTTTTGCTCTATCCAGTAAGTTATTTTACAGTGAAATTTACCCTAAGCAAACATTTCACTGTCCATATTTGAATATATTGTACAAGGCCTTGAAAGGGAAAGAAAGAACACAGCAAAGATAAAACTTTGGAAATCTCAAACATGTCAAACAAAACCTGTGAAAAAAAAAATTAACTTCAGGAAAAACATTCATCATATGACAGAGTATAAGAAAAATGGTGCCATCATTCATAACTTTAGACAAGAACAAGATTAATGGTGCCAGGCCCCCACTTGAATCAGTCTTTTATAAATTCCATAGGTTTACTATTTAAAGAAAGCATACACTGTATCTTATAATGTGAAATTATAAACTTAAAAAAGCTATTCATTACCATGATTTGATTTGATAAAATTCTATACATACTGATAGCATTAACAAAATGGATAGAAAGTACATCTATACCTCTAAATGGCACCCTTTCTACATATTACATTTATTGGTACTGTTAAATAATAAAATGTTATAGCAGGAATGTGTGGATATATCTGAATATGCTGGACAAAAATTTATACAGAATAATATTACTGTGGATTAATTTACTTTAGGGGGGTACCAGTTTTGGTGGATTGAGGGAAAATTGTATTTTAGTTGATATTTGATTTCATGGTTTTGCCAAAGTCTACATTAACCTTAAGATATTTTGCACTTTGCTGAACATCTTAATTCCTGGTATACCTATATCCAATGTAAATTGCCAAAGTCTTCCCTGTTACCATAGTTACAATATTTCAATGACCCAATTTTATAGATGGTCTCTAAAATTCTCTGGTTAATTTATTCACAACTTTTAAGATTCTGCTTGATTTAGAGTTTGACTATTCGATAGACCCTTGTCAATTAATGACCTTGAGACATATTTTTGTTAATTGTGTTGTTTGGGTGCTGTCTCATTTTCATATTACCTTCACATTTTATTCATATATATATATATATATATATGTAGCACAGGTGGATTTTTACGCATACAAATAAATCTACATTTGACCTGTCATATATAGTGCCAATGGCATGTTGACAGAGTCTCCAATCATACACATTTTGGTTAACATCAGTGAAATTGAGGGATAGATATAAGATCATTTGAGACAAAAATGCCTATGTCAAGCCTACAGTGACTTTCAACACACACAAGACAAAAAAAATACTCCTGAAATAAAATGTAGTACAAAATATGTATTTAGGTTTGGTACAAATGCTAGCTCTACTAGTGTTACATAGTTTTGGTACAAAAGCTAGCTCAACTTGTGTTACATACAGTTTTGCGTGGTTTTGGAGGCTGAACAGCTTGTGATGGAGGCTGCATTGAGGGGGGTGGTTGATTGGGTGGGGGAGGTTGTGGGGGTTGTAGACCCACAATTCCTAGTCCCATGTTTCTCTTTGATCCTGGTGACAGTTCTCCTGGGGCTTTCCTGCTTGGACCACCATATCTGAAAAGAAAATGTTACATTTTTACATCGAACAACTACCATGATTAGAATTGGGATTATTTTAAAATGTTTCAACTGTAACCAATCAAACCAATCAGCCTTGGAAATCCTGGGCATGTGCTGACTGCAAACCTACTTGACCTACTGACCCTATAAGTTCTTTGGAAGGAAAACCTAAACAAACATTTGTTATGCCTTTAACCGAATAATTCGGTCGTTATATTTCGCTACTCTACATTCACCCCTGAATGCATTGACAATGAAAAATTGAAAATGGAACATTCCAAATTAACTAAGGATTTACCTAACTCGATAAAATAGAACTGACTGTTGATTGGTCACCTTTCACACAGGGCACCAATTGAAATCCAGTATTCTTGAAGAGTTTTAATGTGTTAGGACTTCAGCCCATCAAAAGTAGGAGAAATTGATTATGGGGAGGGACTGAATTATTCGGGTTTGTTATGCACAAGTAATGAAAATTAATCAATTTCATTTAAAGATCAAATGGTGGAAACCACAATTGAACAGCTGATCTGTTTTGGATTAAGAATTTTCAATAATATTTTAAATGCAGTACATATGTTATTAAAGTGTTAAAGGGGCATTAGCTGTCAAATTCATCTTCACAGATTTGACTAAAATTCTCATATTTGATCTATAACATACTAAAATGTATATCCAAATTACAAAAAAAGTCTAAAATAAACAATTAACAATGCATGGACTCGATAATATGTACTGGTATCAACATTTCGTGCATATTTTTGTCTAGACATCATCTAATTAACCATCGAGATGACCTCCGAAGACTGCGGACGGTCATATAACCAGATATAAACATAAATATTAATATAAACAGATAGCGTTCACGTGCAATTGTACTTTTCTAGGTTTGTTTGATTTCATATTATAGGTTAAAAGTATATTTATTGTCATTTTAACCTGGGTAAGAATAATTTTTTTGTGGATTGAATCAGTCAACCAAATGATTCATCCTTGATTCACTTTCAATGTTAACATTCTTTTCTTTATAATAGATGAATACATGCATAACCCATCTCCAGCTAAGGGGTTAAATCAAAGGTCACATGAATACGGATTCAATGAGGTCGAATTATTCACTTGCAAGTGAATAATTCATCAGCAATGTTTCTTATTTAATTTTGACAAAATTGAACCAAATTGGCTGCTAAAAGCCAATTAGTATTTCACTTTATCACTTTCATTGATGATTGAACAAATAAAAATCATATTCTTTTTTTTTTAAATCTCGTAGCTAATGCCCCTTTAAAATGTTTTCCTGAAAAGGTAAACTAGCATCATATTTTCCAAAATCACCAACTGTTGAACAACATTACTTGGATTTCATTGCCATTAAAATCATGCAAGAACATAAACAAACAATATAAAGTAGCTATGCATTGGCATGTTTAACATAACAATAAGGAGATGTGGTATAATTGAAAATGAGACAAAAACATCTATTCACCATAGACTAAAGGACAAAGATGTACATACAGGGCGTCGGTTGGCCTTCAAAAATGAGCAATGTTGTAGCATAAATGATTTTAAGGGATTCCAATTAAAGTTATTTTGCAATAAAAGGCCAAAACAACAATAAATTTGATCAATTTCAACATGATTTTGTAAATACAAATAACTTTCAATCACCTTGCCACAAAAGATTTAAAGATACAATTGAAAATTTATAAAATCAATAAAAAAAAAAAAAGAAATTGTGTCAAAAAAGTGCAGCTATATCAACATGTTGACCTGTAATCAAATAATGAATTTTCACTTGTATTTCAAATGCAGTATACTAATGTACAAAATGATGTATGTGTTGTGGGTAAAATCCATTTGTGACAGTAAAATCAGCAAATGATGTCTTCAAATATTAAATATCTATGGACTCCTGTTTATTAAATATAAAAGTCCATAAAATCAATAACTGATAATATATTTTTGATTAAAAACATTTCCATTTAATGATTTGTTATTTGCAATAAAACTTTATAAAAGTGACATAGCTGATAGTTACCATGACTACAGTGAATTGGAAACAACAAAAATAAAGGAGGGATAAACATCACTGCATTTATAAATGCCTTCACTTAAATTCATGAAGACAAATTTTGCCCAGTCTTAATAATCACATTTTTTTCAATCAGGCCAGTGGAATGTTTAGATCTAATACAATTGCCATGCATGGCTAGTACAGCTTTCAAGAATGTCAAGAGACAATAGTAACTACATTGAATTCCAAAAAATACCTCAATGATAACTGATGACAAAGAACTTGACAAATAGTACTAAGACAAGTAAGTTACTAACAAAAGAGAAAGAAAACCATTTAGACTCACTGGCTTTTATCTTACAAGAAGTTCCATAATGTAGATGTAAACAATAATATTATGTAAACAAGGAATTATTTGAATGTGGAATAATTTAGAATCCTGGAAAATTGAAAAGAAATGTATGATGAAAATTAACCCAGCTAAATAGGGTTAGCCATGTACGAATGGCTAAGGGGGGTTAGTTAGTTTATACTTAAATAATAGTGAAAGTAAAATTAACCTTAGCCATGCATGCACACATGGCTAACACTATTTAGTTGGGTTAGTTTTCATCACACTTTTCTTATCAATTTTCCAGAACTCAAATAATTCCTTGTTTGTACATGTATGAATAAAATAAAGTGTGGGCAAATGTAAATGTGACAACAACACAACAACACAATTACACTTAAACATTTGTATACTGAAATGGAAGACCATATTGTCAAAGATCCATATCATGCATGTACAACCATGACAACAGAATATCCCTAAAAGATCCTGCAAGTCAAAATCCATAAAAGTAAACCATGGAACCCTGTTTCTTGCCTGGTGTTGGTGTTAAAGTGTAGTGTTGAGTGTCCATTTATAAGTAAAATACAGAAAAATGAAACAAATTAATTTTTTGTTCACGGTGCTACAATGTAACACTGGATCTGTAAGAATCATCAGTCCAGGTCTCGTGAAATTCTGTGAATATTTGACAAAGTTTTTGATGCTGTTGTCACATGCAGACAGCTAAATGCGACAAGGAATAATGTGAATAAACATCATCTTAAGAGCAACAAAACAATATTTATATTATAAAAGTTTGTCAAAAGTAGATCTCTCTAATCAGTTCACTGTAATGTTTTAAACAAAGGATAAGCACTCATATGAAAAGCTGTAAATCATCAAGGGTAAATACAAAATGTGAAAGATTTCAACAACCAACCAATCAAACATACAGGTAACATTTTAAGATAAAAACAAAAGGGTTTTTTGCTTTGGTGGATGATCTTATGGATTAAGACTATTCACAGAAATGTTGATGATTTGCCAAAGCTGCAAATGTTCTGGAAATAAGCATAGGGAAGGCATAAACAAAACAACAAATCAACATTTGAAAACTTAGTTAAAAATACTGTGAATTTACAAGCATTCATAAAAAAACTGTAAATGTCAATATGTGTATTAAAACTAATGTGTCTTTCTTTTAATATTTTATTTCCACAGTATTTATTAACTAAGTGTAAAACTTACTGTGTATTCCAGGTTTCCACTAAGAATTTTCTGAATTAACAAAGGATTATATTTCATACATATAGATCTATATCACCAACTTCAAAATAGCACTATTTTTTTCAACAAATGCATATCATAACATGCGAAAGATAATAACAAAGACTATTTTTTCTTCTGTGATTTTTAGAACAGCTAATATATAACTTTAAACCTAGGAGCAGTTCGTTGCTGTAAAATATTTTCTCTTTACACTCATTAACCTTTATAAAAACAAAATATATATTTAAAAAATAAATCGGGAATGTGTCCATGGGACACAGATATGATGCCCCGCTTGCATATAACGTTATAAAGGGACATAACTCAAGAACAGTAGAAGTGACGGTACCCAAATTCGTACTTGATCTGAGTTTTGTGGTAATAAGCATTGTGTATAAGTTTCATAACATTTGATTGGGTCAATCTTAAGTTAGAAAACAGAAACGAAAAAATTAAGCAATTTTACTATTTGAAAAGGGACATAACTCTGGAAAGGAAAAAAAGTGATGCCATCCAAATTCAAACTTGATCTGTGTTTTGTGGTAATAAGCATTGTGTATAAGTTTCATAAAATTTGGTTGAGGCAAACTAAAGTTAGAGAACAGAAACCAATTTCGGAACATACAGACGTACGTACAGACAGGCAAGGGTAAAACTTAATGCACCCTCTACTACAGCGGGGGCATAAAAAAGTGTAAATTTAAAGATTGAATTGTACATGTACTACATGTAAAAAACAACATCATATCCCCCATTTTTTTTTATTTAGGACTGTTGCAGACATACTTGTAAAGTGTAGTACATATTATTTTAGAATCCCATAGAACATTTTTTGTAGAATGTTTAAACATTTAGTATCTCATACTACATACATTCGTACATATACATTTAATAAATATATGTGCTACACCCAAAAATCAATAAATTTATCAGAAATTCAATTACCTAGAAGTTGGTGTCATAAAATACAAACCCTCCATGATGATGGTGATTACACAATGTTTAAAAATAGAAAGAAGAATTTTCTGTTTCTAAATATAACTTACTGTCCCATTCCTAGACTGTTTTCCATATTGTTATTTCTAAATGCCATAATATGTTACAACTTCCTGAAAAGTAATAAAAAACATTGTTATGGAAATTAATTCACACTCTCTTCAGCATGTACACATTATTTGTCGTATTGTAAATAAGGAACACACTTTCAACAGAGAGTCAAAATTACAATGGATTACATTATAAGATCATTAAGTGTATTTTTTAAAATCATCAATTTTCTGTCTAAATGTTTTATTGCAGATATTGTATAACGTTTGTAACATGTATAAACCGATGGGCTTAATTTAAAGCTTAAACTAGTAGCATTGTTAAAAAAAGCTGTGGTCTCTAGTTGTTTTTTTTTTTATCAAATACCTTGTATTCCTGTACTCAACAGTGAAAATCAAAGAAATTGATTATCGGGTAGCAGCCAAACAACCTATTATTGTGCGAAATTTTCAACAAACTTTAACAATAACATACTCTATTTGAGTAATATATATTTAACAACAAGACAATATTATCATTTGATTATAATAAATTAAAAATCAGGGCGAACAGGAATTAGGACGAATGGACCCACGGCGAACAAGTACAAGAATCAGAGGAAGCAGATTAGTGAAATATGGCTACATGTACTGTGGTACTAATTTTGTTCTATTTTACTTATTCATTATTATATTGTTGTTTCATTGCACCCTACATTTCCTAAAACGAATACTGTATTCTCGGCTAAAATCTGTATGATAATGCGTAAGTCGAAACGCATTAGATTTGATTAAAGGAAATCGTAGAAATTTGAGTATGTTCAAACTGACCAGGCCGATATCATCATTTGTAATTGTATTTTTGTATCTCCAAACGTTAAATCTTACCTATAATACACTATTCTTATAGGAAATCATCGCATCTTCAAGAATGTTTAATTTATTTTGTGCTACTGCAGCGAAAAGACGAATAATTGGCGAGTAAGAAAAAGTGAGAGGTTTGCTTTTCATACAGGAAGTTTATCAACAGCGCCGTCTGGAAGCAATATCTGAAATTATCACCAAAAACCAACAAAAATATATACGACGTCCCATTATTATGTGTGTAACCTGGGTCTTATTATCAAATAGATATATAAAGGGGAGATTCGTTCAAATGCGGACACAGCCACATTGCTCGCGAAATTGAAAGTCTCCATCTATTAATCTAGTTTCTAAATACATATTGTTATGAAATGGAAGTAATCGTGTTATTTGATTACTTATTCCAGGTGAATTATGTTTTCACGTTTTTGAAATTATTGCTGTGGACTGTTTTCATCAATATATTCACTGTACGTTTAATAAAATCGTTGGTCTATTTTAATGCTTATTTCCATAGGTACTTGGGGACTTGTATTTGCTATTTACTATCCACAGCGGTTACTGGTATATTCTCTCTATAGCATGAATAGAATAGAATAGAATATTTTTATTTCCCAAATTACAGGGCCCATAAAGGGCATAAAATCAGTTACAATTGATTGATATAATTGATAATTACAACAATAAACATCACAGTGTACATGTAAATGTATCTTTAGTATATTAGCATTGGTCAGAATCAGAGCCAACAACGAACAATATATATTGTGAATGCAGTTGTACTGAAATAATAAAAATACAGTATATATTCATTATCAAATTATTTACTCGACCTAGTATCAATATTTATACCTGATCTCCTTAATTCAAAACACTCACCAATATAACAGCCCGTTTTTTCCATAAGAGATACATTTTTCTTGTGTCAAGAGCCATAAAAATTTGGAAGATTTATTTAAGTTTTTGAACAAATGTTTGAAATGTATTGAAAAAAATCTTCTCTTTTGATATCATAAAGTGGACATTCTAATAAAAAATGAAGCTCATTCTCAATTTTACCAAGTGAGCAATTTAAACAAAGACGCTCAGATCTATCTATATGTTTTTTTGAATATCTGTCTGTATCAATTTTTAAAGAGTGAGCGCTTATTATTCTTAATTTACGAATTGACTGTCTTTTTTTTAAATCCTGTACGTAGTTCTAAATATTTTTCTTTTTTAAAACAATCTTTTATAGAAAAATAAGTACCAAGCTTCCCTTTTTCTGAGTTAATTGTTAAATACTTCAGTCTATTCCAAAATGTTAAATAACTTTCACATAGTTTATTTTTAACATACATACATTAATAACCAATTGATTGGTCAAAATTTGGTAATTTAATCTCATTCTGAATATAATCTATACTAGAGTACCATGTATTAACATTAGAAATATGTAATTGCTTACAACATATGAATGCATCAAATAATAATCCTTCTTTCAAACCTTCCAGTCTATGACAATATTTTAACATTGATAAAATTATAGTAAAACAAATAGGAAATCTACCAAGCTCTGAAATCACAGCTATGTTACTGGACTTTCTATTTACACCAAGAATATATTTCGTAAATTTATTATGAGCTTTTTCAGAAGAAACCTGACCAAAAACTTTTCTAATATATAATCATTATCTTTTTTACATGCAGCTGAATCAGTACGAAACATTCCCCATATTTCACTGCCATATATATATAATATATCAGTAACCGCTGTGGATAGTAAATTTGGAATTGATAGTAAATAGCAAATACAAGTAATTTGTAGTGTATTTATGTTCATATAATACAAAAAAACGCGGAAATAATTGAAATTAATAGAAAACAAAAAAATAACGGATTTTGAAAAAAAAGGGGGGAGGGCTAAACAAAAAATGTCCTGTCCCCAAGTACTTATGCTTATTTCATGAAATATTTTATAGGTCATTAGGACCAATACATGACTTGAAATGATTTTTTTTTGTATCTATAAGCATTTTCTTCTTACATTTGTTTCAGGTACATATGTATGTATAAATTAGCTTTATTTGCTATAAACTTCGTTGGCTGCTGTCTGCCCAACTGTTGGACGTTTGTTATTTTAGAATGAATTAGGTGTTGCGTTTCTCTTTAAATTTGTATAGCTACATATAACTATACAGTATTGGTTTTGCTCATTGTTGAATGCTTTATAGTGCCATATGGTTGTTTACATCCTTCTACTTTGGTCTCTGGTGGACAGTTGTTTCATTGGCAATCATATCACATCTCCTTATTTTAAACATATATGTCTCTGATATCAGCCTATGGAGGTGTTTAACGACATTCATTACCCTTTTTTTACTAACCATGACGGTCTCGCACGGTCGGTGCAAAAAGTAAATTAGCAAAAATACCGAACTCCAAGGAAAATTCCAAACGGAAAGTCCTTTATCAAAAGGCAAAAATCAAAAGCCCAAACACATCAAACGAATGGAAACAACTATCATACCTGACTTGGTACATGCATTTCCTTATGTAGAAAATGGTGGATTAAACCTGGTTTTATAGCTAGCTAAACCTCTCACTTGTATGACAGTCGCATAGAATTTCATTATATTGACAACAATGAGTGAGAAAAACAAACAGACTAATAGGTAATATTGACAAAAAAATTGCGGTACGGCAGTGACATTGTTATATAATCTAAATCACCATAAAATCAAATAAATATTAAAACAAAGAAAAACAAAATGGCACATAGATATGCACTCAATAGACAAAGCATACATGAAAATGAAAGATAAGCACACAAAAAAATGACCAATGCACAAAAACACAAGGCAGTATGGAAGTCTTTCGATTTGTCAAGATTTGTAATGAAATATGCAATTTTGAAGCAGGCTTGCAATTCGATTGTTATGTTTAACACTTAACTATCATTTGATTTCATTTAATGATAGAAAATTGCTTTTATCAATATAGAAAACTGTCTTATTGATTAAATATTATTAAAACTTTGCTTTATAAGGGGAGATAACTCGGATACTTTTGATTTTAAAAAGGGATGTATAGTTAATTTAACTGTTTTCCTATTTAGCAAGAAAAAATCGAGGAGACCCATTCTTTTTTATTATCTTAGAGCATTTTGAAGGAGAAATTTCATATTCTATTTCATAATTCTGTTTTTCTTCGATTCATGTAATAATGCTTCTCCCTTTGTAATCTATACAAATTGTGTACATTAATTTTGTAAGCTTAAAGACAAGATGATGATGGGGGTTATTAACGACCTTGACGGGCTATAAAGCCCTCGCAAGGTCGGTAATTAAGATAAGCTCAGTTAGGTATACCTTTTATATAACTTATTTTTGAAATACAAGAAGCGCGATATAAACTTTTTTTTTAGCAAAGTTTGAAGAATGTCATTTTTACTGCCTTAAAAGGTTTCCCTTTCTTAAATTGCAAGCTCTATAATCACAATATCCATTTTTGTACTATAGTCTCCAAACAATAGTCTTTTAAAGCTTCGATATAAAAATAAGATGATGTGGTATGATCGCCAATGAGACAACTCTCCATCATAGACTAAATGACGTAAAAGTTAACAACTAAAGGTCACCGTACGGCCTTCAACAATGAGCAAATTATATACCGCATAGTAAGATATAAAAATGACAAATGTAAAACAATTCAAACGAGAAACTAACGCACTGATTTATGTAAAAAACAAATATGATATACAGCAACATACTACAACCACTGAAGCCCTTTGTACTCATGGTCATAATTTCACCTGTTTAGACACCAGAATATTAATTTTATGTGTGATTTTAACGATTATGTCCTATTCATCCATGTGACATTTTGTGACTGCACGAGATGAGCCGGAGTGTGAAATTAATTCTCATTGCGAGTAAGGCATGCACCCGGCCTCGTTCCTATGCATACATGCAATTCCCTCAGTTTCATCTCCAATCAATACTTGGTCCTAATTGATTCCAACTCTGTACAATACAAGGTAAAATATTTTAAATCTTTGTCAATCTGTCAAAATATGGTGCACATATGGATTTATCTTTGTAAAAAGACTTTTTTGCATGGCCTGTTAATTTTGCTTAGAATTTAAGGCCATTTTCTCTTTTTTTTCCACTGGTGATTTAACATCCTTATTTTAGACCGACTGTTGTCTGTGTTTCTGGAAATATTCATGAAAAATAAAGAGGTTTTCCTGTATAGTACAAACTATAAGTTGGTCTTATGAGTGCTTTCACAAAGCTCTGTTCATTTCAAGTTTTAACAAATAAACTAAATGACTGTAGGAGAAATTGATGTATTAGGTATTCTGATAATTATAATTATACTGACTGAAAAGCTGTCAATGACGACTGGGAATTTATTTATCACTAAACTAAAATAAACTATAGCAGACTTGTTTCTATATTGTTATGAATCACATTGTGTGGCCAAAATCAGTAAAGAACCGTCTAAATTCTATTTAATTGATAAATTCAACAACACTTACCGTTATCTTGATGATATCTTTTCGTTAAATAATCAAGAATTCTCTAAATATACTGCTGAAATTTACTCAAAGGAACTTACTTTAAATAATCAAATATTTACAGCAATAACCGTCCTTTCCTAGATTTAGATATTTCAATATTACACAAGAAACATAAAAATTTACGACAAAAGGGATGATTTTTTTTGGACGTTGATGTTCCTTTGGCACCGTCATACGGTGTTTATATATCCCAACTCGTTCGCTATGCTCGTGTCTGTAGTGAGGTTTTGGATTTCAATGAGCGTAATCTATGTATTACTATAGTGAAATTATCAAGTCAGGGATTTCGTTACCACAAATTACTTAAAACCTTTACTAAATTCTTCCATAGATACAACTTGAAGATTTGGTTTGCAAGTTTGGCTGTACCTGTAGAAAACTTATTTCAAACGGAATAGCACATCATCCTTTAAATATAGTAAACGTATTCTAAAAGGTTACCTATTCAACACTGTAATTAAATCTTTGAGTATTGTTTTTATTTGTATAAATATTGGTTTTGTAATTAGTAAATTAAAACTTGACTGAATATAACACATATTCACGGTACTACAATCTTTCGATACCTATATTTTGGCATTGCACAAGGTCATGTTTTTCTCTGACTGCTAATGACGTCTTTACA